ACGAAAAACTGAATCTCTTTGTGAATTGGCGCTGATGAACGCAGGTCGAGGTACGGGACGCCGACGTTCAGCATCCTGTGCTCGGCGACGGGGGTTGTGATCCTCTCCTTCATGAGCTTCCAGGAGATCATCGAGTTCCTCAACTTCCTCTACGGGCTCGGGATGCTGGCCGTGTTCGCGGCCTTCGTGAAGCTGCGCGTCAAGAACCCGGACCTGACGAGGCCGTACCGGATCCCCGTCGGCACCGCGGGGGCCGCCGTCATGTGCGCCCCGCCCGTCGTGCTCATCACTACCGTCATGTGCCTCGCGTCGGCCAGGACCGTCCTCATCAACGCCGTCGTGATCGTCGCCGGTGTCGCGCTGTACTACGTTGTGGAGTGCGCCAAGAGGCACGCATGGGCCGAGTTCTTGGCGCCCGTGCCTCCAGCTGAGAGCTCCCATGGACCAGCTACGGCGCCTGGCGCCGCCGACGTTGAGGATGTCCGCGCGGGATTGCTCGCCGACGTTGAGGATGTCCGCGCGGAAGACGAACAAGGCAGCAAGGTCGAGTAGCGCGTGTGAAGATTCGTACATGAACCAGTTTGCCGTTCGGTGTACAATAATTCCACTGAATACATGGTGAATTCTGAATTCAGAGGAGGAGCTTAGGTCATCGTGTTCACCAGAAATTCAGAACGGCAGACCAGTGAGTACAGAAGTCTGCACCATGAAAGGGAGAACAGATCTCAACTTGTCAAAGTAGTTTTTGTTTTGACTTTTGAAGTGTAGTGTAATGCAGGTGAGGTGCCGGTTTGAGAAGAAAGCTGTATTTTTCCAGCAAAGGACACATAGGTTGTACTGTACTTGAGTCAACTTCATACTTCAGTAAAGTGACCAACCCAGAAAATTTGTATCGTAATTCGTAACTATGTAGAAATGTGATCATTTGATTATGTGGATTGTTCATCTGAATAACAGAGTATCATTTGACTTCGCATGGCTGTTTCCTGCCGGTGCCAGATTACCGCAACTTGGATTCTGCACATCTGATCATTTCTAGAATACTTCTGAGGTGTTCTTCTGAAGCTTTTTTTTTCTCGAATAAGCAAAAGATTTACGTATCATTGTATTAAGGAGAAGAATTTAAACAAACATACAACGCGCTTCTATCCGGCGCCGAAGAGGTCGACCTAACACAGCCGAAGCTGGACCATCCTAGCAAAAGACCTCTTATTTCGATATTACATAAAAGTAAACAACCAATATCGACGCAGCTTATGACCGAGGAGGTGGCCTTGCGTCTTCGCTGCTGCCTGGACGGGGCCTTTCCAACTGTCGGGAAGAGCTCGTCCAGCGCTTCGGCTTCGAACAGAGCTCGTCCAGCGCTTCGGCTTCGGACGCAATCAGGTTGTCGTCGAAGAGCTTGTCAAAGGCCTCCAGCTCTGAAGCGGATGGCGCTGATGGACCATTGGTGTAGCCCATACGCTGCATGATCAACACCTCACCTCGCTTGAAAGCTGGCACTCGGGAGAGACTCTGAGCCGCCAACCGCCTGCTCCGCCACGGCAGTACCGGCTTAGCAAGAGGCTGCTTGGGAGGCTCGCGAATTAGCGGAGAGTCCCTCATATGTGTGACGTTATTGATGAAGCTGTCGAGGTGGCGTTTGGCGGAGTCATCGTTGTCCATAGCCTGGTGGATAATCCCCGGTGGTGAACTGGGAGGGTCAGCATCCACCGTTAGGTTGATCGTGTGTGTCTTCGGCGAGTACACTGCCCACTGAATGGGGCGCGGGGGTGGTGTTCGCAACTCACAGGAGACCACCGCCGGGTCCACATCCTCCAGCTAGGGGGCTGTCACCGCCGGGGCCTCATCCTGTAGCTGGTGGGGCGCCGAAGGTGACGGGAGGCGCTCAAGGGAAGGCCACGCGACGATCTGACTGCCGACGAGCGAGGCTGCGAACTCGTCAACCATCGGGTCCTCCGAGATGTCGCGATCATGCGTGGCGCTCGGTTACAACGTGAGCGTCAACGGATCAGGCTCAACGATGCCCGTCTCGTTGGTCAGCCCACCGTGCCTTGCCTGAGCTCCAACAGCGACCGAGGTGAAGTCCGGTGCCACTTGGACGGCCCCTGTCGACTGCCCGTGACTGTCGGTGGCGACACTGGTTGCCGCAGCGGTGTCGTCCCCCTTCAGTCGGTGCCGACGTCTCCGACGTCTCTGCCGTCTGCGCCCACCGCCACCGCGCGTAGTCGCACCTGCCACAGCTGCAGCCGCACCTGGCACAGCTCCAGCCGCGCTCTTGAGCGATGGGCAGTGGACTCTGAAAAGATTAGGACGGTGATCAGGCTGGCATTCCTTCATGTGTTTTTTTAAGTGCACTTTACCGACGATCTGCTAAAACAATAGACTGCACGGCTGCTTTCTGTTTAACAAACTGGCACGAGACCAAGCCCATTCCATAAGATTAGAGAAGGGTTTGGCACGGAGATTAAAAAAAACATAAACAAAGCACGACTTGTTGGTACCTACTGAGTACTGAACCAATCCGGCCAATCCGGTTTCATTACTGAACGTCTGAACCAATCTTGTTCCATTAGTGAACCAATCCGGTTCCATCAATTGGGCAATCCTGTTCCTTCAATTGGCCATGTCACAGTCACCCCCTTCATAAAACAGACCAGGTGACTGAACCAGCAATTTTCATCGCAAGGAGCAGCATCACTGATCCGAAGAAGGGGCGGACTAGTTTCACACTCGACGAACCGAGACCGATTTGTGATGCAAATGAATGCATGCCACATACTACAGTCTGTTTGTTTACAAACACAGTAATTAACAAAGTTTACATTACACAAAGTGTAGTTCCCGAATAATAATGGGGAAAAAGTCAAGATTCCACAACCATCACTAGGTTTTCTGTAGAGAGTGCTGCCAGACTAATAGTATTTAGTTTTTACTTATCCACATAGTCGCTCGTAGATCTACTTTTTAAAGAAAAATAACAGGCCAACCAAGAGTACTCCGCGAACAAATCAAAATGAATTATAATTTGGGATTGAGGGAAACTTTATTAATTTCAACTAAGTTTATAGAAAATATCGTTAATATATATGACTCTAATAAGTAAATACTCCTTTAATTCTAAATTATAAGAAGTTTAGTCTTTCTAGATACATTACTTTACCATGTATCTAGATATAGTGTGCATATCAAAATATACATGTCTAGAAAAAAAATTAAAACTCTTATAATTTGGAAAATAGAAGGAGCACATTATAAAATATATCCAATTGTTTTCAGAAAAAAAGTAAAGTTTATTTCGATCTCTATCTAAGTTTTACACTTAATAAAACTTAATTTGATAATAATTATTTAATTTTATAAATTATAGTACTTTGTACTGTTTGGCTTGGAGTAAGAGGTGTTATAGTTCATGAAAGATGAAACAGTGTTAGGTGATCATTCTTCTTCCTTGTGAAACTCGGTATTTTTTCTTGTATAAAAAGCAATGTTGGAGTGACTGGTGGTTTGCCTCAGTAAGCCTACCACACTGGCATTCTCATTCGGCCAGAAAGAGAAGAAAAATTGGTGCACGTAGACACTGTAGCTTCGTTGCGTGCACGACTATAATGCACGTTGCAGAAATTTGCATAGGGCGAACCGTGGAAGGATTAACCGATTAAGAGCTGCAAACACACATTGATGACTTAATTAACATATTTTCCATGAACAGTAAGTTCAGACTATGTGAAACTTTTTTATGAGTTTTACCTATATTCAATAGGTTACTACATAAATATTTTTAGTAATATGACAATGATTTTAAAAGCAGAGAGAAGAAATGAGTTCTTTTAGCACAATTATCAATTGTATATAAATCATGAAATTAGATGTCTACGAAATAATAGATAGAAACTATATATTAAGAATGAATATTTAATCTATACTTTTTATTTTATATGATATATAAAACAATATCAATTCTTCATTGAGAATGGTTAATGTGCTACTGTAATAACCTAAGTCCGATCCCTCCAGTTTTTGCTAGTTTTAAAAATCTAGCTTTTGGAAACTTAGTGGATCCAAACAGGCCAGTTTTTTCTACCAGTTTTTAACGAAGCCAGATTCTTAAAAACCGGATATTCAAACACCCCACCAATTTTTGTTTAGAATCTAGATTTTAGAAACTAATAAAGGCAAAAACCGATTTTAAGAATCCGAAACTAATCAAACAGGACATAAAACGGCACGTGCGGACGTGCCAAGCTGACAGCAGCAAGACTGCACTGTGCAAGAACAACTCCCAGTTCGCTACACGCCTACCGAACCTGACGTTCGGGACCCACCAGCCAGTGAGACATTAACCCGACACAAGGACAGGTAATTGGTCACGCGCCCCCAAATAGCGTCACCCACCACTGTTCCTCGTCGCCAAACCAATAATTTGGGGAAAAACTCCAATTGCGGCGGGCAAAAATATTTTTCTCCGTTTTTTCAGCCCCAATTCTGACTCGCCGGCGGCGGCCCGATCTCGCCGGAACCCTAGTCGAGGTGAGTCCCCCGCCGTCTTCCCCGAATCTGCTTCCTTTCCTCGCAAATTCTTTTATCCCTGCCTCAATTCGAGCTGCTCCACGCGGTTTCCCCACACGGATTTGGTCAGAGCTCGCCGGGATTCGCGGCCCGCTCGCTCCCGATCGGAGAATCTGCGTCCGGGCTTGCTCGAAGCTCGATTCTGTCAGCGGCGTTGCTGAATTTGGCCGTGGAAGCGACCTCCCGAGTTCGCGTGCTCCCGAGGTGATTCTCTCTGTGCTGAATTGCTGCTTCTGGATCTGGTCCTGCAGGTGGGGGTAGCTTCGGGCCGTGCTGCGGAGCTCGCTTCTCGCGGCGAGCTCGGCCGCCGCGGGTCGCTGGAGCCGTGGGCGGCGGCGTCGTCGTCTAGGGTTTGCTCTTCCCCTCTTCCCGGAGCTGCTCGGCCAGATCGTCCGGTCGGCGGGGCTGCATTTTGTGCCGCCGCCGCCGAGATGCAGCCGCCGTCGAAGAAGTTCGCTCGCGTCGACACGCTCGAGCTCAAGGCGCGGATCGTCAAGCGGCTGGGCCCCCAGCGCGCGGAGCTCTACTTCCGCAGCCTCAAGAAGTTCCTGAGCTGTCAGCTCGGCAGGGATGAGTTTGAAAAGATCTGTGTTGCTACATTGGGGAAGGAGAACATCAAGCTCCACAATTTCCTCATCCAGTCCATCCTCGGCAACGCGTGTATGTCGGATGGGCCGCCGCCGAGCATGCAGGCGGCCACCGGAAACTCGCAGACGAGCACGGTGTCCAATGGGACACTCACCAATGGCTTACTGCCGGTGAGGAGAGTGAGGCCCCTGACTAAGAGGTTTGGTGATAAGCCGAGCCCGATTGGGAAGTCTCCTCTTGGTCATCCGGGGGCTGGGGGTGAGTTTGTGTCAGCTGGTAGCAAGGCTTTGCAGGAGGTTATCTCTGTGGAGGATGGCGAGGAGGTCAACCAGGCCCGTGGCAGCCCAGTCTGTGTGCAGAGCCGAAGCCCGATCAGGCCCCCACTGGGAGTTCTAAAGGTTCAGAATTCTGAGCCTTCGACATCTTGCGCTTTAGATGTGTGCTACAATAATGGTGAACTTCCAGATTCTCAGTCGCTGTCGAAGCTACTTGACGATAAGTTGAAGGCTCAAGGTCTCACTGTGCCCAAAGAGTGTGCTGAGGTGTTGAACTCTGGGTTGAATGCATACATGAGTCAGATGCTGAAGGCCTGTCTAGGTATTGCGAAAGCAAGGGAAGTCAACAGGATGATGCGCCAAGCAAATGGACGCACTGCTGCTTCAGTAAATAGTGGGCAGAACAATGGCTTTCCTTTGGAGTCAAGCTGTTGTTACCAAGCCTCTTTGCTTGATCTTTCGACAGCAGTGCTATCAAATGCTCGGTTAGTGCCGTGCGTGGAGATTCGTGAGAAGATTTCTTCCCATCTCCACAACAGATAAGAGAGCAGCTAGTTTCCTCCACATTTTTAGCAAACCTTATGGTGGAGTTGATCAAGTGTAGGCAGTGCGTTGTAGTGCCATTGATCCTGCTGTAGAAACTACAGGTAGTTAGGTTGAGGTAAAGTGGAGTTTGACTGTAGGACTGGGTAGTGTACCCATGGCTGGTGAGGATGATACTTCTTAGGATGCAGTACATGATAGTTGAGTTTCATTTATTGTGACTATTCACAGAAATAATTATAATAAAAGATTCTGGAATGTGTCGTGGCTTTTTTTTCACACCTTATACACCAATGTTACCATGTTGTGCCTGTACAGAGAATCAGGTACTGTGTTTAGAATATGTTGCTGTTGGATAACTTGGATTTGTTGCCTTTTCACTGCTGAGATCAATTTTGTTGTCTGGCCAGATTATTGGTTTGTTTATTTTCTTGATTGCAAAGCATCGTGTGTAAGAACCATGTGCAGGCATTCATCTATTTGGTTATTACTGGTGATCATTTAATTAGTGTTGCTTAAGCGCGCCATATAAATTCTTGTTTCTTTGTTCTCTGTGATCTATCTGGTACCCAGGCCCAGCTTGACTCGGAACCAACATATAGCTACAAAATTGTACAGGTAATTCGTTTCTCGGCATCTCAGTATTCTTCCATAGTGATTTGATTTCAATATGGTGTCTTCTGTGCTGTTCTACTATCCTGAATATGTATATGCACTCTGATGCAGGCGTCCGGGGTTTATCTGCATTGATCTGATTTGCTACAGGAGGTTTCCATGTTATATCCACTCCAGCCTGTCTTTTGTCTTCCTTGTATATAGAGGGAACAAAAAATGAGATTGTTGATGAACATGAGCTAGCCCGAGGTCAGAACCAAACGTTACAGATTTACAGAGGACCCAAAATGCAGAAAGATGAAGACATGATTCTGCAAGTTCACGGTATCAGACTTAACAGACATTCAGACCTTGCAGAGGATTCTGGTGAGCATGGAGCGATTCATTGGTCTTTTCTCTTTATTTGCGACCTGTGGATCAATTGGTCTGTCAGACTATCGCTGCGTCAAGGGCAGCCCCTTCTTAGGCAGAGGTGCACGTCAATATTTTTCTTCGAAATTGTCAATAAGTATAATATACGTAGCTGTTACTAAAAAGCCTGGCACGGATTGATGATTTTTAGTTCAACTATAAAACAGTCCAGGACCATAGTTGCCCCAGCCTCTGCCACTTGGCAAGCCCGTCGTGACCAACGCTCCCTCTTGGGTTTATTTTCGGTTGTCTTTTAATTCCATAGTTTTAGGTACAAAATGGATATTGGTTTAACTTCGGTTGTCTTTTAAGTTCTTAGCTTTAGGGATCCTAATCCGAACCCCTTCTTATGATGTCACACATCCTTACGATCTCGATAGGGTTTTCACTACCTCAGCGAGGTGGGCTCCAGTGGTAGAGCTTCTCACAGGCCAACAGGGGCATGACCACCTCTGAACTTTTGTAAACTCCATTAGTGGCAGTCATTTGGCATGATAAAAATCAAAGATTAGCATTGTTCTTTAATGGTTGTCCTCTGGTGGGTTCAGGTCCAAAAGCTCCGCCGCTGGTGGGCTCGAGCCCCTCCTACCCACTGCAAGCCCCTTCTTAAGCCCTTACTCCATTTTATTGGGCCCCCCTTTGACTGTAGTAGCTTGTACAAGGTTGAAGTGTCAAGTTTCCCAGGTACTCAGGTAGGGTGCTGAACAGAATTTGCCTGCAGTCTGCTTGGTTGTTTAGCGTGACTTCTGCGATGATCGTTGTCAGTTTGTCACAGCTTCCAGTTCTGTTTCCGCTTGTGGCGATAGCCTGCGTACAAGGCGCACTCCCGAGGCAATTCTATCCCCCTCTTCCCTCAGTGCTATGTATTTGATGTATAAAAATCATAACTTGGCAAAAGCTTTCGTGCTCCATGCTATGTAGGGGACGTGATAGTCTCATAGACCCCATGCATGTTTAAGGGTTGTCACCAAGATAGGCCTTGTTGAAGATGTGAAGTGGATGTAGTTTGTGTACTTTTGCTGCGAATTTACCTTGCTCATATCACTCACGCCCAGATGCAGATGTTTAACAGATTACTTTGACATGACAATTTATGAAAGCACGCACACGACACACCCTATCTTTTATGAGAACTTCTGAGAGATTGAGCTAGTAGTTCTTGAAATTGACAAAATCAATATAGATGCATCCTCTGTTGTCAACGGAAACATCAACTATCATTAAAAAAATACAATTGTTAAACGGAAACGCTGCAACCCGAGCGTCCGGCCCTCCAAAAATATCGGATGGACTACAAGTTATCTCAACTACTCATTCTCTATGTTAATTTTCCTATCGACTCATTTCTCAACCTTCCACCGACATCGTCTCCTGCTATGCCTCTTATTCAGACTCGCATCCGCTCGCGGCTCGCCCCACTCCATCTCGCCGCCCCTTGTCCCACACCGTGCCCCGTCCCTCACCTCACCGCCGCCAGTCGCCTCCCCCCCACCGCGCGCCCATCCCCTGCCGCGCCCCACTCCATCTCGCTAGTCATGGTCGTGGCGTCACCTGGCCACCACCAACATGACACCACTAGTAGGAAGTCGTCGCCGGCCTTTACATTGTCTCCAACGGCTAGCCAAAGACACCACGGCAGGAAGGGAAGTCCAGCAGCGGAGGTGTATGCTGGGCCATTGTTCTCAACGTCCTCCTGATCCGAGCTTGCTAGCCATGCAGTTCCCCCACCAGGTAGGCCATGGCCGCCGGCGACGTAGTGTTTCAGTGTTTCAGGTGTTTTCAGACATGTTGCAAGCTTATGTTTCAAGTGAGTTGTTTTATATGTATGTTTCAAGTGTTTCATATGGATGTTGCAAAAGTAGGTCGGGATGTTGCATATGTTGCAGTGGTTGCACACGTATGTTGCTAGCGTCTGTTCCCAATGTTTCATCTGTTTTTTCAGACGTATGTTGCAAGTGTGTTTATCAGGATATTGCATATGTTTCGCATATATGTTGCAAGTGTTATCTGGATGTCGCGTCTGTTTGCAATGATTTTCAAGTGTTTTCAGGTGTTTTTGCAAGTGTTTCAACTATTTTCGACGTATGTTGAATGTCTTTCATCTAGACGTTGCAAAAGTAGATCGGGATGTTGCACATGTTGTGAGCAAGAGAGGAAAGCGGGCGCAGGCGGAGCGATCCCACGGCCGAAGGCGATCCCCACATGTGGGAAGCAAGGCAGGCAAGGGTGGTCCCCACGGAGCGGCACGAACGAGTAGGCGGGCAGGCCAAACGAGCAGGCGAGCGAGCAGCGCAGCAGGCCAGCAGCCACGGGTGTTCATTCGGACATCCGGGCGCTAGTAGTTCCCATTGTTAAATCATAGATGAACTCACGAGCACTCGTGCTTCGTGAAAAAATTTATCTCGAGTGGACGGTTTAGAAACCCAAGTTTGTGCAGACTTATTTATATTTTTAACTGATTTTTTTTTCTTAAAAAGAGCACTTTGTCATGCACACGTTCATATGACATACCCAAACAGGTGCCCATGCGTACTCTCTCCCACGTAAACGGCACCCAGAGAAAAAAAAAACGAAACACACCTTCATACTAGTCCTGTTTTCACAGTATATACCGTCCATATGCCCCAAGAAAACCAGGGGAAAAGGACAGATAGAGCTGAGTCCAGACGTCCAGACGTCCTCGAGGAACTCCATGGATACCAAATCGGAGAGGGACAGGAGAAGAGATGAGAGAGCGAGAGAGAGAGAGAGAGAGAGAGAGAGAACGGGAACTAAAAGAGGGGGAGCAAGAGGCCTAGAGAATGTGTGCACTTTTGGAATACAAATGTTAGTGTGAGGTCATCACGAAACTCGTCTTTTCAGGCCCCTCTGCTGCGTCCTGCCACCTCTTTTCTGCGCCTGCCCTGACTCCTCTTCGCTTTCTCCCCACTCATGTTTCTTCTTTCGGTGCGCTGCGGCTCAGCCGGCTGAGGTGGCGAGCGTGCGTGCCGGACAAACCTGTCGGTTCTCCAACACTCTCCAACAGTCATCTGAATCCTGAGTGCTTCCACAGGGTCAGGGATGACTTGTAATAACCAATCCTGGTTTCCGGTTGATGATTAACTAATCGTGCTTATACTAATTGCATTTGGTACTTTGGTTTTATATATCTGCGTCTTTGTTCTTGTTGCAGCAGCAGCATGACTTTGCAAGTCACATTGACCGTGTTTCTTTCTGGTATGTCTTAACATCAACATCTATCATTTTAGTATCTGGTCAATAGAAAAGATTCCACGTTAATTTTAAAGGCTTATAAAATAAAAAACCGACACACGTTGATAAGTTATCCACAATGCTATTATACACATTAATAGCTGTAAGAAGAAATCTAGGCCTTTGATTACATGGGTCCAACAATTCAAGCTAAGATTAATGGTCCGTTTGGAATGCAGGAATAAAAAAAATAAAGAAACAGGAAAACACAGAAATAGAATGGATGTGTAGTATCTATTTCTGTGTAGTACGTAAAATAGAGGAAAGGAAGAACACAGAAAATGATTAAGACGTGGTGTTTGGAACACAATAATTCAAACACAAAATAAAAAAACATGTGAATAATAAATGATTATTACTAGAGCTTAATAATGATTATTATTACTAGAGCTTAATGATAATCTATTAGTTGCATATTTTCTTCATGATCCTTATACACATGGGGCCATTGGTCTATGAACTGCCTCTACCCGTGCTCTTTTCTCTCTCCTTTGTTTTCCCCTCCCAAAAACAAGGTCTGGCGCAACTAGGTCCGGATGCAGGCGAGGGTTGATCAGGCTGGGCGGGGTGGTGGCGCAATGAGGCACGTTTGGGCGAGGCCGTGAGCGTGGCCGAGTGTTGGCGAGGTATAGAATGGGGAAGAGTGGGATGGCAGCCGCTACTTTCAGCCGCTTCTACAAATGCTGCCTCTAGAAATCTATTAGTAGAGACGACTGGATTTAGAGTCGTCCCTAAAAATATATGCATCATAGTAAAATTCATAACTTTTCAAATAAAGTCAGATAAAGATAAAATTTATATTAAAGTTATATATCTCAAAGAGATCTACAACTTCGTAGTTGACAACTTTTTTCATTTGAAATAATTTGGATCCAACAAATTATGTTTGAAGTTCTCACATTTTGAAATAATTTTTTATTGAATTTTCCAAACAATCTTCGAGAAGCAAAGTTATAGATCTCGAAAAAATATAAATATAAAAGTTGGCAATTTTTCTTTTGAAATAATATATGGTTCAAAAATTTAGTTTGAAGTTCTCAAATATTGAAATTTGAATTTTTTTAAACGACCTCGGATGGAGAAATGACAAAAACCAAAGTTGTAGGTCTCGAAGAGTTTAACAAGTTTGTAGTTGACAAATTTTTCATCTGAATTCGTTTAGTGTCCCAAATATTATTTTAATATTGGCTGAAATAAATATGCGGGGAATAAAATGCATCATGGACACGTGACTTATGGGTGGAATGGTTAGAGCAAATACACACAGGCTACAGGCCATACGTTCAAGCCCTGTGGCCGCACACATGTGTATTTTCACATGAAAAATCACGTGACTCGATTTATGGAGGCGGTTGTTGCCTCTACAATATTTGAAGAGATGTCTCCTGTTTTGATCAATTTGTAGACGCCTTTACAAATCCTTTAGGCAGTAGTGATTGCTATTAACATGCAAAAATTTTGACGTAAAAAATATACTAATTCTAGCGGTCCATTGCTAGTTTATATATAGTAAATAGTACTAATTTTGTGTCAACTGTTACACGAAACTCCTGAACTTTTTTTCTATTTTCAGAAAAGATATTGTTCAATTGTCAGATTTAAATTCTACAAACGCTGCTCTGCCCAATGCAGTATTTATTTGGTACCAGAAAAGGAAATCCATTGCAATTAGTTAGGGCACATTTCAAGAATTTGGAGAGTGCATCATTTGCATTTCCCAAATACTCCTGCAATGCATCACATATTCACATGTAGTACTAGCACCAGTCCTTATCGGCCTTTCTAGGTATGGGGTAGACTCGCACCCACTCTCGCCCTTACGCAATGATGATGACAGTCATGATGGCACGCTCGCGTCGCCTCTTCTTTCAAACCACCAGCATTTCTCCAGAGTCTACACCCTAATCCTAAACCCCCCATGGCTTTGCCCTAATCCAGCTGTTACTCACACTCGGCACAGGCTTCCAGGAGACCGGAATGATGACGAGGGCCGCGGCTTCGAGGAGCCGTGTCGCGGAGGGGCCACAGAATGGAGGCTGCAGCCTGCTCAATTCTTCGCGGCGACCGATGTGCTTTCCTCTCTGAAAAGTTCAGCACTGAATTTTAGCCAGCACCCTCTCATCAGCTTGCCCGTGCGAGTGAGAGCATGCATGCCATGCTGTGCTCCCTGATTACTTTATCATTGGCTGCTAGCTAGTACCAGGCCAGTTTAATTAATTTTGGTGTTGTTTATTTTGTCCTCAGAGGTTAATTTATTCTTTTGCTACACTGACTTCTAGCCTGTATGCAACAAGTCTGCATCAGTGGTGATGTTTTGGATCATTCAGACCAAAAAACAGCTTGAGAAGAAGTGAGAGCCTCACAGACAGACCAACAACATGTTTTGTCACGCAGTTCATGCAAGTCTGCAACAAATTTCAGTTAACAGGCCGGAGCAATCAGATTACCATTGCATGTTTTTGACGAATCTTTCTCTTCAGAAGGGAAATCTCAGGAGTGTCGAGTGTCGACGAACGAACTTGCAGGAGAGCAGCCAGAGGCCATAAGGCTAGAATCACTGCCCCCTATTTGTCTTTTGAGTTCAGAAAAATGCTGTTCTAGTTGGCCGATATATGCTTTTGAGAAGCTAGCTCCACACCACTGCTCTCTGCTGGCCAATTGCTTTTGCAGAGGAAACAATCGATGAGCTAGCCGGCCTCCTTTTGCCGTCCTGAAAATCATGGAGTAATTGGTGGAAAAAAGCCCCCCCAAAACCCCAGACGAAAGTAGCCTTTTACCTTTAGAAGTATGCAAAGGGAGAGGGAGGCGACTTTCTCCCCTACCTACAAAGCTTCTACAGTTTTTCATCAGCAGCCTCACACCTTTTGGGCCTAATTTGGCCATGTGATGAATGCAGTTTTTGCATTGAGCTACTACTTCGTATTAGCAGTTGTTAATTAATTGTAAAGGAGTATAGTAAGTCACAATGATAGAGGAAATAGTATTCTTTTGCAGCTCTTTTTTGTTAATGACTAAGTGGGGATTACCTCTACAAGTATTTCCCCTGCTAGCTACAAACGTGTGAAATAAAAATCTTTTTTTTTTGGCAGATCTTTTTCTGTAAGTGACATGCCCATGCAAAAAGTTTTGAAGGGAACAAGTAGGCCGGCACTGCTGTCAAACGGACAGTGTTTTATCTTATCCATAAAAGGGCTTTTGCACTAGTAGGAAGAAGGCCAAAAGAAAGCCGAGAAAGGAGGAAGTCTCTCTCTCTCTCTCTCTCTCTCTCCATTGTGGGCCTAGCACAGTGTACGGCTGCGCCTCCCTCCGCCGGCAAAGCGTGCACCGCTGTCATGTCCTCCCTCGGACCATCTATCCATGCATCGACCCATCCCCTTGCTTAGGCTTTTCAATCACTTGATCACCACTGAACATCACCCCCAGCTAATCACCGTTACAATGAAGCATTCACCATAACTAACAAGGAGTACTCCTACGTAATTGCAATTTGTTTGATGAAGCAGCAATTGCGCATGCATTGCAACAGCAATATCAAATCAGTTTCTCAGCATCGTGCAGACATGCATGCTTCATGCTTCCTGTCAAAGGGATCTCTGCACTTCTGCATCCATCCAACCAGCCTTTGCTGCCTTCTCAGCTGACTTGCTCCTCCTGCAACTGCAACACAGAGTTATCAGATTTTTTTTTATCGTTTTCTTTTCACAGAAAGAGCAGAAGGTCGGCACTAACCTCCAACTCCAGCAGAGAGACAAGAGCTGCAACTGGCTGGGCACCCCTTATTTCCCGCTCCCCAAAGATATGTGGCTTTTGTTTGTTAGATTCATTCATCCATTTGGATAGATGCATCCAATTATCCATGGAACATTGCGACTGTGGCAATAATGCAGGTAGCACAGAATGAGAGGAGCCGCACGCATTGCTCATCCTCATCCATCATCATCATCACTTCATCAGCTCATATGCCCTCCCCTTTGCTTGTTTTCAGTGACAAGCTGACAGCTCCATCTGACTAGCTAGGAATAACTTTCTTACTTGCACACACATGACATGCTGAGAACGAAACTGTACTAAACAAACTGCGCAAAAGCAATGATCATGGCACACATGTACAATACACTGCATCACATACTCTCACAAAGTGTGTGCACTGTTTCAAATGCACTCCTCTCCTCGGCTCCTGCTGCCTGGTTCGCCGTACCAGTTGCTTTGGGTCCGTCCGTCCATGTCCATGCATGCACGTGGGCCCCGCGCGTGCATGGGGTGACGAGGTAGAAGAAGATTAAACTGGACTCCTGCAGGCCTGTCTGCTCTGGGAGGGGCACTGCATGCATGCTTACCAAGCCAGTGAGTGACGCTGACAGTGTGCCATTAGCCAGGGTGCATACAAGCAGCTGGCCGGGCCTCCTCCTCCTCCTCTCTCTCTATCTCTCTTCCTGTTGCTTGCCTTTGTTTGCCCTGCCAGAAAGGAGGGGAGGCATGCAAAATTTTATCCCTCTCCTAGTGTCTAGCGAACGGAAAGGCAGCCCCATGGGCGTTGGAGGAGGTGTTTATAAATCCGCTCCCCGTGCCACCCCAAGGTTTCAGAACCACCACAACACCTGATCCTGCTCTCTCTCTCTTTTCACAGCCTCGTGTGTTGTTCCAGTTCCAGTTCCAGCGCCAGCTCGGCAGTAGGCACTGAAGAATCTGGTGACCGGCCGGGATCGGTAGCCAAGCTCGATCGAGCAAGAACAGAGAGCAGCAGCTATAGCTACGAGGATGATGATGGACAGGCAGCTCGTGAGGCAATGCGACATGGAGGTCATGAAGATGGCCATGCTCAAACACGAAGAAGCCTTCAGGCAGCAGGTAAACCACGAAGAAACTTTGGGTTCTTCTTCTTCTTCACACCGTTGCTACTTCTTTCTTTCATCATGGAAAATGAAGTGTATGAAGTATGAACTGGTACTGATCGATCATGGATCGCCATTGTTCTTGGCAATCATCCTGTCAGGTCCACGAGCTGCACCGCCTGTACCGCATCCAGAGGGAGCTGATGAGCGACCTGACCCGAGGCGCGCCGGCGCTGATGACCACCCGCCGGCGCAGCAAGCAGCCGCGGCGGGCGCTGAACCTGCAGCTCCCGGCGGACGAGTACATCGTCAGCGCCGACGAGGACGAGGACGCGGACGCCGCCGCCGGCACGGAGCTGGAGCTGACGCTCGCCATCGGCGGGCGCTGCTCATCAGCCGCCGGCCGTCGCAAGAACCACCACAGGAGGAGGCAAGCTGCAGAGCAGCGCGACAACGCCGGTAGTGGCTGCTCCGCCTCCCCGTTCGGGTCCGACTGCTCCGGCTCGAGCGTCTTGTCGTCGTCGCCGCCGTCGTCGGCCGAGTACTACTCCGACGACGGGCCGGCGCCGGCGGTGTTCCACGCACCACCACCGCCGCCGTGCCAGAGGGCCGTGGCGTTTGACCTTGGAGAAGGCATGATGATGAGGCAGCACGCGCCGTGGCTGCTGCAGTGCCAGCAGTACCTCAGCCTCAGGATGACATGAACCTGCAGCAAGCAGCTCGCCGACCATGTCCATCTATCACATTGTACCAGATTGCGTTGTGTTGTAGAAGAAGCAGTAGCAGCCACTAGTTTTTTTTTTTAATTTATTTATTTCTTTCTTTTGTTTTTGCCTTTTGTGTTTGCTATGTCCTAGGTGGCCAATGGAGTCTGGGAAGGGGATGGTTCTACCCTAATCCTGATTCCTGATCCGAAGATGTTAATTGATCATGACTAATGAGTGCATCCTGATTGATTAATGATGTTCAGACTAGTGCTAATTCAACTGTGCAAGATTCTTTGTACTCATACAGTTCCATTCGTGGTTGCAAAGGTGGTGACGAAAACAGGGTTTTCATGCAGTAAAAGGTGGTAATAATCAGGCAGTGAAACTGGAAGAGGCAGAGGAACTATAGCTACATGAAAAAGTGAGAGCTCCTAGCCTCCTAGTAGACAGTGTAGTTGTGTAAAAGGGAAGGGGACACCATTTTTTTACTGTGTAAAGTTACAGTTGATGCCCAATAATAGATGTGCTGTTCAAAACATCAAATTAGCTTGGAATCCGGAAATTTTGAGTGGACCACATATTTAGGGAAAAGGAGGGCATCTCTAATGATTGATGACGTCCTGATTGAATTATAGCAGAAGCATAGCAATTTGCATTTGTGCGTGTCAAAAGTAAGGAAAAAGAGATAAGGGCAAGGATAGATATTACACTTTCTGTAAGGCCCCGTTTGAATCATTGAAATTGATATTATTTTAATAATCATAATTTAGATACATATTAATTAAGCTAATATGGTTGCATATGGATTATATTTGTATATTATTGTTGGCTATACGAAATACTATACGTATTGCATTTCTACCGTAGGGGGCGAGTTGAAGAGCGTGTTATAAGTTGCAAAATATAAATATAGAATGATAATCTATAGAATTAATTTACATCTCCCACCCTATGAATTTGAAATAGGCTTATATGCGAACTTTGAAAAGTGGTCGAATGTCAAATCCCAAGCCATGTAGTCTAATTTATTAAGTAGATTTTAATTCCTCCAAATGAAATGATCCAAACGGCCCGAGAATTTACAAGAGGCCATTGGATGTTCCGGTGGTGCCAAGGGCAAAAGTATCAAGATCAAGAAAACATTGGCAAAGTGCGTGGAATAGAATATTTGACTCATCATCGTGTTATATACCACAAGAAGAAAGAAGCCTAGACTGATTGATAGAGAAAACAAGAGAATGTACTCATGTTTATAGTAAAAGAAATGCAGAAGGACAAATTATCCATATTGGAGCGAAAGGAGAGTATTTTTCTCTTCCAGATGAGTGGCTAGTTCTGTGTTTTATATTTCCCATTCTATTATTTATGAATTCTCCAGACTTGTTCTGATTGGCAGGCCTATCTCCTCGTGTTGCTTGAAAAAAAGAGAGGACCATGAGTGCATATACTAAGATGCATGTTTTTAGGGCTCCTTTGGATTCAACCATTCCCCTCCCCTCCAATTCACTAGGGGAATGGTTGAATCCAAAGGAGCCCTTAAGGTACTAGCAACGTGTCCATGTGTGAGTTGCAACATACAACTTGTTGCTCAACGATTTATGGTTCGGAGATTTATTCAACAATCGCGTCATCTCTTCCAATACGTCTTGGAATCAGACTTTGTATTGTCACTGGACATGTGTTGTTCTAACTCGTATGAGTATGAGTCGTGAGTCTACATCACATATGAGATAGGAAAGTGCACGAGTGTATTGCAGAAAGTAAAAAAAAGACGGTTAAAAGAATCATCTTTTCTTCAATACTAGGTATAGATACAAATCAGTTTAGTTAATTAGGTTCCTAGCTTGTGGTGAACCTAAAACATGGGAGGTGGTGGTGGATGAATGAGATATGGTGGCGCTAGATGGTGTGGATGGGAGGTGTGGCGGCGTTGGATGAGAAGTTGATGGCGGAGAGGGCTAGACCGATTCGCCGGATGGGGTGCCACAGCAGAAGGATTGGAGCGTGAGTGAGTTGAGTTGGTGGCAGGAGAAGGTTTTGGCCTATGGCCGCGCGCTTGGAAACCAATAAAATGTTCGATGGCACAACACACATGTATTAGGGTTCTGCATTTTCATAGGATCTTGATGTATTTTATATGGAAATATTACATTGAGGCGCCAATGTGGCAAGGAACGGGTTCATGGCCTCGAGAAAAACATAAAATCCCTAGACAATGTAAAGTTTTTCTATTGTTACGAAATGGAGGGACACAAATATTTCCCTAGGACAATTCTCCAACAATAGGGAAAGGAGATAATCTTAGGGGAACAAGCATATTCTAGTAGCATTAGTCACCCAGTCACATATTTAGGCAAGGTTGCTGGACTATGAATTTATCAAGATATGAAATTTATGAACTCGCTAAGGATAGTGGCCAAGGGCAAGCAGTAGCATGGGTCGAGCCGAGGGCGATAGTGTGGGCGAGCAGTGGCGACAGTGCAAGCCTAGCGCCGGTCATGAACCGGTCTAGGCCGAGGCGATGCACAAAGCCGAGGGCGGTGGCATAGGCGCGGCGGTGGGTGTGGGCTAGTGCTGAGTGAGGCCAAGGGCGACAGTCTTGGGTGAATGGTGACACGGGGCGAGTGCGGCGGCATGGGTGTCTGAGGCCGAGGGCGATGGCGCAGACGAGCAATGCCAATGAACATGGCATTGTGCGTGTTGAGAACAAACCGCAAGGACGGTGAAAGGAAAATAGTGGATGAAACATGGGGCCCACTTGCTAGACACATAATCCCACATCCAAAAGCAAACAAGAAACATGAATGGACTCGACCCACCCAATCAAATCTGAAATAGGTTCATTCCATCCAAAAAAAATCAGCGATATATAAATCCAATCCATCCACAAAAAAACAGAACCAAACACATGCTAACCTTCCTCGCAAATTCCAATCCAACAGGATTTTCCGGTCCCATCCTGATACGAAATCCATGACTCATATATAGCCATATAGCGGATATATAGCGTCGTTGTGGCCATGATCTGGTGTCTCCGAAAATGGTGGCAAAATGGAAGAACAGTAGTATCACAGCTGCTGCCTGCTGGCTGCTAGTGCGGCCCTGTTCGGCTGGTTGGAAAAAACAGATGATGCTAATACTGATACTGATTTGTTGTGAGAGAAAAACACTGTTATTTCGCTGAAACGGTAGAGCTGATAAGTTCGAGCGTGCATGTCTTTCATGCTTTTTCTATCCGGTGGACAATTGTCCTGTTGCCCGCTTGGACAACAATTCTTCAAGATTCGCGGCTTTGAGATAAATCAAATCTTTGCCGATCGATCAGATCCACCTTTTCTGCTGCTCGTCGCACTTTTGTTTGTCCTTTTTCAGTCACAAAAAAATTTGGTTGTATAAACCTATCGTGAACGTAAAGGGAATATCTCCGCGACTGGAATGAGAAGGGAATCCATGGTTTGGTGTTTTGTTTGGTTCACCTGTGGTAAAAACACTGACGAGAGTGCCAACTGTTGCTGCTCAAATCGGGCGTAATCGATCCACCGAAGCACAGAATTGATTACCCTGCTATCGGATCTCGGTCGGTGATGGTGAAGCAAATAGAAACCGTTGTTAAATGCTCGAACCAAACAGCTCCTACGGAGAAAGTGCAAATGTCAGTCACGGAGGAAGGAGAGGCACCTCATTATCTTTTGAGAGGAATATAAGAAAAGGCACTTTTTTTTTTTGAAATCATAAGAAAAGGCACTTTCTTTTTCTAGAGAACAAACAAAACTAGAGAAGGTATTATTGCACTGGAAGTGCCCCCAATTAAAATATTGGGCCGGGGGTCGGTTCGGACCTAGTGGTCCGGGAACTTGCAGACAAGAAGAAACAGAGGCCGAGCTCATCAATCTCTTGATGACGAGAGGCTGTGACCCCTACACGGCCAGGCCCACGGGCTCACTTCTCTCGTTTAAAAGGAGCTTCGAGATCAGCCCAATGTGAGCGGCAGCTCTGCTGTGCGCGCGAATGGAAACGGCGCCGCCGGGTCGGCGACTTCGGTCCAGGAAGCCTAATGCGAACGGTAATGCTTCGTGGCGTCTGTCCGTTCCAACAGCTTCTTCTCCATTAAAAAAGAAACTGGACGTCCGTTCGTCCATCGTGACCTCCCATCTCCCCATAGTCGTCGTCATCCTCCTACCCGCGCGCTCGTCTTCCTTGCCTCCGCCTACGCTTCGTGGCCATCGTCCTCCATCATCGGCAGCTCCGGTGCCCAGTCCGCCATTGGCTTGGCCGACGCAACCTCCCATCGGCCGTTGTCTATAATTCTCGGCCGCCGGCTGGCCATAACTGGCCGTTCCCCACTCTACGCCGCGTCATATAGAAGAAAGATGAAAACACATGTTGCAAGTCTATGTTTCAGATGTTTCATAGGTATGTTGCTAGTGTTTCACGTGGATGTTGCAAAAGTAGATCGGGATGTAGCATATGTTGCAAGGGTTGTGTGTACACGTATGTTGCAAGCTTCTATTCTCAATGTTTCATCTATTTTCCAGACGTATGCTGCAAGTGTGTTTATTTGGATGTTGTATATGTTTCACACATATGTTGCAAGTGTTTTATCTGGATGTTGCGTATGTTTTTGCAATAGTTTCAAGTGTTTTTTCAGGTGCTTTTGCAAGTGTTTCACATGCATGTTTGAAGTGTTTCATCTGTCTCCAGACGTATGTAGCATGTGTTTGTATCTGAATGTTTAAGAAGTAGATCGGGTGTTGCATCTCCCTCTTCGCCTTCTGCTACCTCGTCTTGGTGCCTCCTCCTCCCGGCGCCGGTTAGGCATCCGCCGCTCCCTCCCCCTCTTTCTCGATGCTGGTGACGTTCGGGGCGATGCGGGCCCCACGTGGACACGCGAAATAGCACGGGGAAAGTACTGCAAACGTGGGCGTCTGTCCGTGCGAACGTCCCGGCGCTAGCAAGCCCGTAATGCGAGGCCAGGTGGAAATCGCCCAAGCAGGCCAGGTTCAGGAAGCCTAAAAGCAAGTATAATAGCAGGCTGTAAGCTGGTTAATTGCTGAGGCGGAGGAGAGAGGAGAGGAGAGAGAGCATAAGCGGGTTGTAAGCTTATAGCCGGCTTCGGCACAAGAACCAAGAAATTTTTTGAGAGTGACAAGTGGACCATGTATTAATAGTGATGGGCTAACTACTATATGAGTGGACTGAGAGAAGACTGCAAAGAAACTTTACCGCCAGCAGCCGGTTGTATTATTAGCCTTGCTCTAATACGAGAAACTTCATTCGGTCCAGACTCCGGAGTGGATTAACTGAGTCCCGCCTGCGTGCCGTACTAATGGTGTGTTTGGTTCGAGGAATGAGGTGGTCCATCATCTTCTCACTCCTCACTTTTTGTATTTGGTTTGTAGAATAAAATGAGTTGATCCATCGCTATCTCATTTCTCACAAACTAATAATTAGTATATGCATGATGAATGAGTTGATTCTACCAAAATTTATAAGATAAACTCATGATACATCATCTCACAAAGCATACGTTAACTCCACGAACCAAATACACCATGTGTGGCCGCTGGCCGCGTAACGAAACATCACGTTTTGTAAGTTGTAACCGAACAAGCTACTCCAACTTGTCCTCTATTCTTCGTTATGCTCCTTTTTTTCCCTCTTCCACGCCAAGAGGGTTGTTAACACCCAAGGCCATATTTTTTTTCATTTATTATCCTTTTGGTTTTACATTTTACAGGTGGCACACAGGCATGTCGTGGGCTCATACCTACACAATCTGGAATCCTTCCGATGGAACTGATGGCTGATTTCCAATCAGATGGTGCCCGTGGGGACCGTGAGCCGCGCCGGCGGACCAAGATCATCCACCAGGTCGTTTTCAATGGGAACTTGGTAGATGCGCCGATCGTCCTGACAAGCATCGACGACACGACGTCTCCGATTCCGAGGACCTCCTGGGGGCTCTTGCCCGTGCGCACCAGCGCGTACGCCACTCCACTCCGCCTCGTCCGCTCCGCGGCCACGTGCGAGCAGTGGTCCCGGCCGGGTGATCGGCCCCCGCCGGCTTCCTCCGCCGCGTCTGCTGCCCCCTCCACGCGCCGACGCCGTACGTGCTTGGCCACTACCACGTCGTCGTGGAGCCTGGACGGCCGCAGCCTCTTCATCCCAATCCCGGAGGCCCCGACGCTGGCAACCGCGGCTCCATTGGCTTCCTGTCGTGCAGTCAGCCGGGTGGTCTTGGACAGAGCCGGCGGCATGGCGATCAGCGATTCACCGACAGCCGCGGTAGCCTCCGATCCTTGACGTTGTAGGAATATGGTGATCCTACGTTAAGTTACTGCCTACTGTCCATTTTATCTGGCGCGTACGCATATCAAAATTCAAATTTTAAAAACTTTAACCAATAATTAAGCTAATAATCCAAAATTTTTCTCTATTTTTTTAAACATAGGTTGTCGATTTGGCAATGGAAAAAGGACTGCGTGCCCTTTTAGTAAATAGTTCAAACTATTTTATCGATATGAGTGTTCTATGTCAGATAAATTCTACACTAGCTATTTCCCGTTTAAAGCATTTCGAGACTAATACTAATGTAGTTGTAGAAAGAGTACCCCTTTTTGTCCGGACTTCAAGCAGTTTAGCTTTAACCGTGTTAATGGTCTCACATTATTGGTCTATAGAGAATCAAAGTAAATTTACCAATAAATCGCGAAATGCTATGGTTCTTCCATATGATTTCTGAAGTTATTCAGAAGTAATTCATCGAGATCGTGCACCTTTTCTTATTTATAAAAAATACTAAAACTATTCACTATTATAGTACAAACTTTATATATATGATTAGATTTGTAAGGAATTATACTATCCAATGATTATAAGTTTATAAGCATAAATAATATAATATAAAGCAAATGAATGGTTAAAGTATAATCTAGCAGACCGTGTCATTCTAACTTGCGCAAGATAAAATAGATCGGAGTGAGTATTTGTGAACCGAAAAGAACCAAGGATCATGGAATGATTTTGAAACTAGACGTTGAAACAGCTTACAATGGGGCAATGAGGTGGGATATCTTAGAGGAAGAAGTGATTGGAAGAGGTTTTCCACAAAAAGTGGATCAATTAGGTTATGCGGACTGTCAAAGGAGGACATGTATGCATCAACTTTTCACGTAACCATGTGGCAGAGTCATCTTTGTGTTGCTTCTGGATCCATGCCTTAGACCTACCAAGAATGTTACATGCAACTAATAATTCTTTCTTGTCCATATCAACATAGGGCGAAACTACAGATGCTTGTTGCAAGATTTCAAAATGTGCTTTCATGGGAACATTGTAGTCATGAACACGGACAGACTTCTCCCCAATTCCCTTTCCTTCTATCCTTTTCTCATGCCATGACACAGGAACACCAAGTCTATTGTGACCCAAATATTGAATGCAGAACTCCAGTGCTTTCTATGTTGACCATCCTTCTGACATGTACCCCTCAGACCTGTATCTATTTCGATCATACTTCCTCATAACGCTCATTAACCACTCGAATGGAAACATCTGGTGCAAGAAAAATGGGCCCAAGTTGTTGTATTTGGGTAACAAGGTGAACAATGAGATGCACCGACATATTGAAATGTGTTGGTAGGAAATGCATCTTGAGCCAATTCATTGTAACTATGGATTAGATTATCCTATAGCCTTTTTAAGGATCATTGGATCTACAACCTTGTGTGAGATCGCATTAAAAAATGAGCACACCTTTTATGGGCGACTCCCATATCTTCAACTGTAGAACACCCTTGATTGCAAAAAAAAAAAAAAAAAAAGAAAGAAAATTGTGTCATGAGGACGTGGCAATCGTGCGCCTTCATGCAGCTCATGTTGATTTTTTCACAAGTTTTATTATGGGGCCCCACCCAATAGTGAACCTGTGGCGGTGGATTGCATGCGATTTTATGGCTGGGGAACTTCGCCAGACGGTGGCAGCACTCTGCTGGGTGCGTTGAATTATATTCAGGGCCTGTTTAGATCCCTTCCCATTTGGAAAATGGATACTGTAGCACTTTCGTTTGTATTTGACAAAAATTGTCCAATTATGGACTATTTAGGCTTAAAAGATTCGTCTCGCCAATTACGGGCAAACTGTGCAATTAGTTATTCTTTTTACCTACATTTAATGCTCCATGCATGTGCCGCAAGATTCGATGTGACGGAAAATCTTGGAAAATTTTAGATTTTGGGTGGGATCTAAACAGGGCCTCAATGAGATAGTGTAGAATAGAATAGTGTGTATATGGGTCTGTTTGGCACAGCTTACAATAGCTTCGTGAGCTGTTGTAAGCTATTTTTTTTTTTGTCAAACATCTTTTTCTTTTCTCCTCTCATAATGGAATGAGTTAGGATGAAGCTAAAAAAAAGTAGCTTATCCTAACTCTCTTCCTCATTTCTCTCTCTCATTTAAGTATGAAGCTGTTTTGCCAAGCACTTTTTTCAAAACAGCTTAGCTTCACCTAAAAAGTCGCTCATGAAGTTGTTTTCTAAAAAAAAACAGTTTTGAGTTGTGCCGAGACCTATATATATATATATATATATATATATATATATATATATATATATATATATATATAGGTAATGGAATAAAAATCCGGTTTCAGCCTTCTTATAAGGAGAAGAAGCATCAGTCGGAACCTTATTTGTAAATATATTTATGAAACAGAGTATTATACCTTTAAATAAACACCGACTGTTCTTTTGAAAACGTAGCATATAGACCAATTATTTTTATTCTAATTCGAGTATGCGGATGTGTAATATCCAATATAGAGCCACAATATGACGAAGGTACCTTTGGGGAGAGAAATCGATATATATCTCTTTCTTGTTTCTAAAGTTCTGTATGTTTGACCACACGCGCATCTTGTTCTTGAGCACCATCTATTTGCGATGGCAGGGAATAATGCTTGAGCCCCACGTAGAACAGCTCCTTGAACCTAGACAGTGCCTGTGGCTCCATAGTAACGACGACGTTGAGTCGGCCATCGCCGTCTGGGCTAGGCACAAGGTAAAGGAGGTTGCTCTTGCTGTGGATGGCCCGGCCGGCAAACGACGGCCGGCCCCAGCCGAAGTCCACGTCGGTGACGGACAGCCCAATCCAGCTCACGACGAGCAAGTCATTGTCGGTGATGACCCAGGGCCCCTCGTACACTCCCCCCGGAGCGTCGTCGTTCATGGCGAGCTCCAAGTAGTCCGCCAGCGACCGTATGTACTCGTCGCTCAGTCGAACAGCGGAGGCGGTGACCTTGTCGGCGACGGCGTCGAGTGGGCTCGAGACGATGTCCTTCACCTTGGTGACCGTCGTTGACGTAAGGGCGATGGCGTTGCCGAAGAAGACCCTTGGGAGAGGAGGACACATGCGCGAGCGCAGGCAACCCACCCCGTATATCTGAGAGTCCTCCGCCGTTCCACTAAGGCCTTTTGCCTTGCATGAGCACTGCCACACATGCGCCACCACTGCGCTGTAAGTGGAGACCTTCTTGCCGGTGCCGGCGCTGGCGGCGCCGGCAGCGCCTTTGAGCGCCTCGACTTGGTTCTTGGAAATGGGGAAGACAGCAGTGTCGAAAGGCACGTTCTCGTCGTACGTCTTCGACGGCGCGCCGGTGCTGCCATGGCGCGGGTATTCGGGGTGCTGGAAGCGCACTGCCGGCGGCGAACGTCCGCGGAGCAGCGTGCGGTCGAGGCATGGCTGCAACGACGTGGCCGCCTCGCTGTCACCCCTCGCAATGGCAGCCCACATCTGCATGAAGTCGCCACCTGCGCGGCCGTCACACACTGTGTGGTGGATTGCCGTGCCGAGGCACACCCCACCACACTCGAAGAACGTCACCTGCGATGATGCGTGGTGGACAACTGGGACGACGTCAGCGGGCGTTGCGAGCTACGCTTTGCATGCATGCTGCGGCGAGAGGCGTCACCTGGAACATGGCCAAGACGCCGGCGTGGTCGCCGGCTTCGGCCATCGGGACAAGCATCTGCCGCAGCTCCTCCGACGGGACGGGGTTTCCCAACTTGTCGAGGGTGGCGTCCGTGCGGGCTGTGACGAAGAGTACCCCGTCGCCGGTGCAGTGGATGTCGGGGCGGCCAGTGCTGTCCGATCCGAGGCGGCCAGCGAGGGGATAGAAGGGAATAAGCGCCTTGGACAGAGCTGCCTTCAGGATGTCCGGCGAGAAGGCGGCCGAGCCAGAACAGGCGCGGTACAAGTAAACCAGGGGAGTGTGGGTCCTGCTCTGGACGAGGTCGAAGATGGAGAGCCAAAGCCGGTGCTTGGGCGTCGCCTCGCCGGGCGTCACCATGCAGGACTCGAGTATCTCCACTGCCATCGGACGAAGCTGCGACCGATCGATTGGTGGATGCAGGTTGCAGGGGCTGATCTATCTGTCCCCCCAAATCCCAATTTTTATAAATCCTAACTTAAATAAAGGGCTAACGCCTACTAATCTGTAGCACTGTCTGTCACGGTGTCACCATTTTGACAGGCTACTAGATGCGAATAGCCAGCTATTCGAAGATGACAACACCTTATCTTGATGGTACTCAGACAAATTAATGATGGCCGTTCAAAACACTAGTGTACAATTCTTTTTGAAACCCACTAGTATACTAGCCCTCGTCCCATTGTCCTCACATTATCCCGAATGCCGTTATCCGCCCCCACCTTATCCCTGAAAAAGGAAAGGTCCAAATTACCGTTCGAGTTTATGTTTACTTTAATTGGATCTCTAACTATTTTAGCTGATCTAATTTATCCTTTAACAAGATTTATCTTTTTTTTTCTTTCACATACAAGTTGAATTTTCATTTCAATTCTTTAAGATAATAGACAGTACTAAATAATTAACGAGCCAAGCAACATTGGTTGATAAAGAATTGGCATAAAGAAGTGTACCTTTAGTGGCTATACATGGGTCGATATATATATATATATATCAAACCATCGGTAAAGCTAAGACTCTTTGTCTTGATGATACTCACCCACCCAAATGATGGTGGCATCAAGACACTAGTACACATTTTTATTCAGACACAACTAGCCCTCTATTCTTGATCTGTCCCTCATCTTATCCGGATCATTTTAGAGCATCTCCAGCCGTCACACAATACATCTCCAACAAATTGCTAATGGGTCTTCCCCAATATGATTTGTAGGATTATTAGGGAACATTTTCTTTTGTAACATCCCAATATATGAACCCCAATATATAACCTGGCTTCATTGGCCCATTTTTATTTATTTCCTGCCGCCGTATTGATGGTGCTCAAATAGATGGTGCTTAAGAACAAGATGCGTGCGTGGTCAAACATACAGAACTTTAGTAACAACATATATATATATATATATATATATATATATATATATATATATATATATATATATTCTGTCCCAAAGGTAGCTTCATTATATTGTGGTTTTCTATACTGGATATTACACATAGACATAGGCCCCGTTCGCTTCGCTAAAAAAATAAACCGAAACACTGTTCCGGCTGATTTGTTGTGAGAGAAAAACACTGTTCCGGCTGAAAAAACAAGCTGAAAAGTACGGATTATAAGAGAAGCGAACAGAGCCATACTCGTATTATACGTGTACTACAATAAAAATAATTGGTCTCTATATGCTACGTTTCAAAAACAGTGATCGGTGTTTATTTAAAGGTAGAATACTTTGTTTAGATATATCTACAAATTAAGTTTCGACTGATGCCTCTCTTCTTAGAAGAAGGCTGAAACAAAAAAAATTCCATTATCCAAATACACACACTATTCTATTCTACCCCTTTGCGTTGAATATAATTAAAAGGGGCAATGCTACGGTCACCCACAGATTGCCGGCCACAAACTTGTGAAAAATCATTAAGGGCCCGTTTAGATTCTTGGAATTGAATTTATTCTAATAATTACATTTTAGAAATAGAATAATTAAGCTAATATAGTTTTATATGAAATATATTTGTATATTTATTGTTAGGCACACAAGGGACATACTTATATGTTGCATTTCTATTGCAGGGAAGTGAGTTGAAGAGTGTGCTATAAGTTAGATAGTCGAATTATAGCATAGTGATCTATAGAATCAATTTCCATCTCCCACCCTATGAATTTGAGATAGGCTTATTTGAGAGCTTGAAAATGTTATGGAATGTCAATTTCGAAACTAAATAGCCTAATCCATTAAGTAGATTTCAATCCCTCCAAAATGATGGGATCCAAACGGCCCCTAAGCGAAAAAACTTGTTAATCATGCCATCGTCTGGCAGAAAATTCCAATTGTGTGCTCATCATCGCCATTACTGCCCCAATCCATGGCCTCACACCTAGTGTTAAGCTTCATTCGCCAACGTCATCCCGCGCTAGTTTTTCACCAGGCGCCCCCATCGTATCCCGACCAGAGTCCAATGGGTTAGCTTCACCCAGCTGCCTCTACTACCCAAGTAGTCCTCTGACTCAGCAGACCTCCGAAAGTCTTGCCAGTCGATTCGGCCGTCACGGTGGAAACTCCATCTACCACTACTCATTAGAGAAGCGTCGGGAATCGCAGCAAACCTCCTGCTAACTATATATGTCTATGCAGCCCGTAGCATGATGGCACGGCCCGAAGCACGGCATGGCCCGGTATTGTGCGGGCCTGGGCCGGCACAGCTCGATGCATAGGGCCGTGCATGGGCCGCACCCCAGGCACGCGGGCTAGCACGGCATGACCCAACATATACCAGTTGGCGCGATGTGGCCCGATGACTTGGGCGGCCTGGTAAAAGCCCCCTGCGCGCCCTCATCCCTCTAACACTAAATTTCATTCCCTTCCCTACCCACCCCCCGCGCCATACTCGTGAACGCGAGTCACGACTCGCGAGTCATCACCCGCGACTCCTTCCCTTCTCTCGCTTGCTTGGTGCCTCGAACTCCGCCCCTGACTCCCCAAGCTCCTTCGCGCGGCGGCTCGTCGGCTCCTCGCTCTACTCCGCGCCTCCACCTCCACTCCCCCGAGGCCGAGGGCTCCGCGGCTCCGCTCCTCGCTCCCTTCTTCACGCTCCCTGTCCCGTGGATGGTGGCGGCACTCCTTCGCACAGGCGGTGGCGCGTGGAAGCGGCAACGCTTGGCCACGACGATGAGGTGTTGAGGCCTCGGCAGCTCCCTTCCACTCCCTTGCGACGCAGCGGTGGTGCTCCCCCATGCCTCACTCCTCCACGACGCAATGGCAGCGCTGCCCCGCGCCTTAGATCCTCTCTCCCTTCTTTCTGACGCGAGCCTCGGGCTAGCCCGGCCTGCTGGAGACGCCGTGCTTATCGGGCCAGCCCGGCCCAAAAATCGGCCCAAGGGGCCATGCCTGGGTCGGCAGCCAGGCACGTAGCACGACCTCGACACGGCCCGATGGCCCCGACCCCCTGCGGGCCATGGCTGGCACGGGCCCGTGCCGGGCCAGGCCGGCCCGTTGGCCATCTATACCGCCAGCATCTCATGAAAGAAGTGCTGGGAATAGCCCCCAACACTGTTCACCTCCACACCAAATAGATACCCAATCGGTGAGTATCGCTGAGCCCTCTGTTTGTTTTAGATGGCGCTAGCGCCCGGACGATGTGCTCGGCCAGCATGCCCCTGCCCGAGCCTGCATTTCGCACGCCCACGCAGGGCTTGCATCGCCTGGACGACGCACGTGTCGCCAAACCGTGCGGAGGGATCGCTCACGCCCCCTCCACTTCTCACGCGCATTACAACATCCACATGAAACACTAGCAACATACACTCGAAATAGCTAAAACTCTTGCAACATATGTCAGAAATACTTGCAAAACACCAGAAAAAACTTGAAAATAGGCGTGCAGTCATTGCTAACATCAAGATGAAACACCAACTTATGTATGAAAAACACCTGAAATACTTGCGTATATATGCAACATCCCAATCTAATTTTGCAACGTCGAAATGAAACACTTGTAACATTTGTCTGAGACAAATGAAACATTTGGAACATACACTTGAAACATTCGTGTATTGCCCATTGCAACATGTGCCACATCGCGATCTACTTTTGAAACATCGATATAAAACACTTGCAGCATACCTCTGAAACATCTGAAACACTTTAAACATACGCTTGCAACATGTGCTTTTAGCACAATGTCACTGAAAGCATCTAGGCCCCTAGTTGGATTTCGGTGATTGATGTCAATACAAGATTACTATGACTAACGTGTGTTTTGCAGAGGCAATTAAGTTAGGTCATGGTAATGGAGATCGATTGGGCAATTGAGGTTGTCATGCCCCTACGATGGAAATCGTTTCGGTTTTCAAAGGATGGACGACAAGGTTAAGGATAACTAGTTCTAAGTGTCAATTGAAGTTGGAGAGACACTTAGAGTAGTTTAGGACTTTGTTTTTTCCTTTGGCCGTACTATGAAGGGGGGTATGAACGGGTAGCTTGACCTAGTTAAGTCTAGTGAGTTAGGTGTGGTGCACACTTGTTTAAACTAGCTCTAGGTAGCTCCTATGAATGCCTAAGATCTTTTGGAGCAAAATTCATTCACATATATTCGGAAGTTGGAAGTGAATGGAGGGTCAAACACTGACCGGACGCTGGCTCCGGTGCGACCGGACGCCGGCCGCAGGGTCCGGTTAGTTCATTTGACTGAGGTGAACAAGTCTGATGTGACCGGACGCGTCCGGTCAGTGCTGACCGGACCCTGAGGGTTCAGCGTCCGGTCGACTCCAGTAAGGGTCCAGACTTGGGAAAGAGTGACCGGACGCGTCCGGTCGGTCTTAACCGGACCACGAGGGTTCAAATGTCCGGTCGAGTCCAATGAAGGTTCCGATAAGGGTTTTATGCGACCGGACGCGTCCGTCCGGTCGCAGGGCATCGGACCTGCCAGCGTCCGGTCGACTCTTTAATACTTGGTTCGCGGGTTGAACTGACCGAGCGTCCGGTCATCACGATCGGAGCGTCCGGTCGTCCCAAGCAGAAAGCTCATAACGGTTCGTTTTTTCAGTCGGCTTATAAATAGAAGGTTCACTCGTGAGTGGAGTATCTTTTGCTCATTCCAACAGCTGAGAAACACGTTTGTGAGTGCCAAGAAGAGCAAGGTCCTAGTGAGGTGTTTGTGATTTGAGAATCCAAGAGAGTAGCCTCACTAGCAAATCAAGAGTAGCAAAGTGTGCATCCATCTTCTCATTAGGCTTCGCGTGGTCAAGTGAGAGTTCGTGCTTGTTACTCTTGGTGATCGCCATCACCTAGACGGCTTGGTGGTGATTGGGAGTTTGGTGTTCACCCGGCGGAGCTTGTGGGTGACCCAACTCAAGTTGTGAGCGGTTTTGGGTGATTCGCCGTGAC